TTACTTTTATAGTCACATGAGTTCCTAAATACATTTGAATTCATATGACGGTTATGCTTGTTTCCCTCGTTATTTTTTAATAAAGTTATTTATCCGAATGCAAATACACATGAACATTGAAAACCGCAAATATCTATAAAAAGAGTCATGAAAAGAATTGACAGTGCAACGCTAGTAAATGTATTTTTTCTTGTAGTAATAACAAATTATCTTGAATTAAATTATAAGAATTAAATTATAATGAGTATTACAAATTACTACGCGGGCGGCAGCGAAGGCGTTTTACAACTGTTAGTTGTTTAAACTGTTATTGTGTTGGTCGATTCCCCGATCGATACTAAAATTATAAAAAAATACTTTAAATCTGGTCCAGAAAAAATCGGAAAAGAAATGTCTGTCAAAAGTGATACACCATAGAATTATTAAAATCCTTTAATTTCAGAGCTTTAAATGTCTTTTATTTTCGTAAGAAATTATTTTTACATATTATGTTCTTAATATTACAACAAAAGCATTCATAATTGTGTATATATTTAATTACATTATATACCTGCATTTAGTTTGCAATAAATACAATACAAGAAATTATCACATGTTGTGTCTGATCACAATAGGTTATCTGTATGCGATAGTTTAATAATAATCTCTGTATATCATATATAAAATCAACTGACGAAATTTTGTGTGTGTGTGTGTGTGTGTGAATGGGACCCTAGATGGTTTAGAATTGGACCCGTTAGATGGTGCTGTTGTCGAGATTCCGAAATCATACGTGCAAAGCCGGGGCTTATCGCCAGTAATTATTATAAATTTATTGTACACCATAAACAATTACGAAAATGAAAAAATATTTTTTTTTCGAGCCGTGATGGCTCAGATGGTTAACGCTCGCTGTAAATATAACAAAACGTGAGTAACCCGGGTTCGATCCCCGCCGGCACCAATGAAATTGTTAATTGCAATTTTAAGTGCTGATTTACCACGTGGTCGGCGGTGAAGGAAAACATCGTGAGGAAACCGGCATGTCTGAGGAATAAGAAAAAAATATTTCGAAGACATGTGAAGTTCGCCAACACGCATTGGGGCAGCGCGGCGGACACTTCCTTGCCCTAAAAACCCTTTCAGAAATGAGGGGAGGCCTGTGCCCAGCAGTGGGACGTATATAGGCTGTAACTTTACTATATTAATTTTTAGTTTACTTATAAACTACCTGGATTTATACATGATGTACCCTGGTCTTTGTAACTACTACTAAAACTACATACTTGATGATACAGATATTTCTGTCCAAGAGTCCGGGTGCGTTAGTACCACAATCATACACATAGGTACTTACTGTATTTAGTCAAGGATTCACATTGACTTACTACTAAATGGACGACGGGTCTAAAACAAAATTCACGAAAAATGTGTCCCGGGTCAACTTGTATAAGCATAGATACGTATGTACATGTATAGAAATATAAAAAACTTTAACAATTCAAACAGTATTGTGATTTGAAAACTGCTCAATTTTACTTGCGATAGTTTGTCAGCCTATATAACTTCGACTCAGCTCGCACTATTTTCACGTTACGAATAAGGTATTTTTTTTTACAATTAATATTTAAATGAAATAGGTAATATGTTTTTAACCAAAATATTACTTTTAGTGATTTAATAGTCCTTATCGAAAATATGATACGCCTTCCTCTTTTCTCATTTTAATCAAGTTGCTTTTGCACGTCTTTACAATCCAGTACGGTACTTTGGACGTCTTTTAAGTCGGTCGACAGAAACGAAGACTGGCGCGCGATTGAATTTGACTTGACTGTGACTTTTTGGAATTTATTTCGGTTCGGACACTTAAGCGCGGAGCCGAGGTACATTTTGTTGTAGGTCAATGAGGATGCGTCACATTAAATCATGTTACGCCTTGCTAATGTCATTCATATAGACTGCTGTTTTAACGGATTGCGGCGAAATGCAAGTGCGTGCAGGCAGAAAAAAAATTGTAAAGCTTCCAGATTTTAATCAATATTTCATTATTAAGGTAGAATTTTAATCAAATGCAGGTGGTAGAATAGGCCAATATACTTAATTAAAAATAAAGTTTATCGTCTTGGAGACGGTATAAATAGTAGACCATTAATACTTTACATAATATGAGCTAAATACTAGCTTTAAATATCAAATAAAATAAAATCATATAAGAATAGAGATGATTCATGATAGAATTTTGGTATTGGACACTTATACTGTTATTTTTATTCATTTGTGCAATTACGCATTAAATAAAATTTAAGTGTCTGTCTATGTTGTCAAAATAACTGCTATTTATTAAATGCATATGAAAGCATTTACGATACTTATTTAAAAAATAATTTAAAATATTTGTCTGTCAGTCTGTTTGATCCGGCTAATCTGATTCAGACGGGACCGAAGACCGATTTAGACGGGACTTTCATTAACAGATAACTGTTGTTATAAGAAGTAACTTAGACTACCTTTACTTTGGAAAAAGAATTAAGATTTCGCGCAAAAATTAAAACCCATAAAATCTAATTGTAATAATTACGACGCGAAATCGCGGGGAACAGCTAGTAGTAAATATGTATAGTGCTCCCATACTGTGAAAATCACACTGATCTATAGTTACCTTAAAAATAGTTTTATTATTTCAATGGCTACTAAATTTTCTTACAATTGTCTATAAAATTTTAAATCTTAAAACATCTGTATATAGGCTTAAAGTCGCCTAATTAAGTGCAGTTTTCTTCGCTAAAATAATTACAATTGTGGTTAATACTTCATCATTATCTAGTAATGTTGAATTATTTCAACAATCTTTAAATTAAAGCAATTTCGTGACAAGTGAATTAACATATTAAAACATATTCGAAAACACTTTTTCTAAAAATGTTTATTTTCTTTCGAGTCCAGCAAAAGTGCGCAAATATTTTACAAATATTCTAATAGTGGACATACATACGAACTGCACTGTTGAATAAATAAATAAATTTATTTAGGAAAGACAATATTACAATTTAATTGAATATGTCTATCAACCATAACCTATCTAAAAGCGTTGCCAAGCAGCTGAATGGAGCAGCAAGGTGCTTCAAACAAGGGTGTGATATTAGCTATTATTGCTATAAAACTTAAAATATATAATACTGTTATAAATCACAGTCGTCCTCCAGCGCTCTACATTCACTTTGTTTCACTGCTTCAGTGTTATTTATGTCGGCAGAGGAGCACTTGAAGTCACTACACAGCGACTTTATCTAGAAAAATAAAACATCAATAAATCAATCAACCTTCATTTTCAGTCTGTTCTTTAGAATGTACTTTGTTTAAAAACCAGGAGATCTAATAATTGTTTTATTTTATAGCACCAAAAGTACAAACGTATTTATAATATGCATAAATTGTTTAAATGAAATGTATAAATGTTTGTGTATAAGATATTTGTCTCCTTGATCTCTTATGAATGCCTCGTTGGTCTAGTGGTTGTAGTAGTGCGACTGCTGATCATGAGGTCCTGGGTTCGAATCCCGGGTCGAGTCAAAAAATCATTTGTTTATCCATTAAGAAATTCTCAGTAGCTAGCTACGAGTCAGGAAATAGGCGGTGTCTCACCCTCGTGCCTCGGAAAGCACGTAAAGCCGTTGGTCCTGCGCCTGATCTCTCTCCGGTCGTGTCGGTTTACCGTCCCATCGGCTTATGAGAGTGAGTGAATAGTGAATGTATCTATGCTTGCGCATACACTTGGGCACTATAATCCTGTCCTGCGCCGATGGCTAGTCTCCCTTGAGGCTGGCAGAAGATAAAACAAGCACACAGTCTACCTGATGGTAAATAGTTGCTACGGCCCATTGACATATACATCTTATCCTCGATTAAGAATCAATAATCAGATGTGTTGCCACTCCTGAAGATTAAGATGGAATGCCTTGTTTAAGTAAAAGAGTCTCGAAATCTGTACACTTACCACAGCAAGCACAGCAGCAGCAAGCTATGCTGGTTTTTTGTGAGAGCGTGGTCCTTACCCGGTCAAGCCGACCCATTCGTGTTGCAATGATATAGCTGCAGTGTGGCTCTACCACATGAGTAAATTTTTATTTGTAGGCTATACCAATAGTTGTTCGGTGCGTGTTTCGAACAACACCACCAATTAAAGATTTTTCTCAAAACGATACTTTAGGCTATTGGTAGGTACTGCCAGCATATTCGCATTACTTTCAAACTCTTGCTGCTAATCATGCTGGTATATGAGCCACGTCATTAACTTACTAATGTTCTTGCAATTCACGAGTGCGGTCGACCTTTGGATGGGGTTCGACCGCACTTGTGAATTGCAAGAACTATATCAGGTAAAATATGTGCTCGTTTATCATCCTTATCCTATAAAAACACTTTTAGTTTTTGTTCTCATACAGAGTATCAATTATAAACCTATGTCTTTTTATATTTACTGTAACTTTACAAATAATTTAATTCATTATTTATTTAAGAGGTAGCTCGGATGGTTAGCGCTTGCTGTAAATTTCACAGTAGGCGAGACACCTGGGTACATTCTCCGTCGGCATCGATGAAATTGTTAATTGCAATTTTAATCGCTGATTTACCACATGCTCGGCCGTGAAGTGAAACATCGTGATGAAACCTGCGTGTCTGAGATATAAGAAAAAATAATATCTCGAAGACTTGTGAAGTTCGCCAACACATATTGGGGCAGCGTAACCCTCTTAGAAATGAGGGTAGGCTTGTGCCCAGCAGTGGGACATATATAGGTTGTAACTTGAACTTTTATTACAGTTCATCAGGCATCTACTGCTGAACATAGGCCTCCCCGTAGATTGAACCATACTTCAAATTATATGATAGAATGTATTATGACAATGTCCGAATACCCAATTAAACGTTGGGAGGCATTCAATCTCAGCCTTTACAAGTGAGGCCATAAATCTAACACTATTTGCTTGAAGTTGTTTGCAGGTGCTTTTGTAAGATCTTTGCTATTCAATACTTACAGTATAAAACAATATCGGTGCGGCGATAATAGCTCCGGCCAACACATCCCACCAGTGATGGCGGTGGTCCCAGATACGCGAAACACTACAGTATAACGCAGTCAGTATGCAGACCAGCTGGGCTACTAGCACTGCGTTAGATCTCGGAACATCGCTAGCTCTGCGATGAAGGTAATACTGAAATAAAATTTTCATATGTCACAAAATGTTATTTTAAAACCTAAATGTGAGGTTTCTCCACAAATGTTTCGTTATTATGTGATGTAGTGTTCTTTTAACTAAAACGTAAAATAGTCAAAATTACATTGAAGTAATAAGTATGTACTTTACTTACATACTAGAACAGCTATTTCAAACAAAAAATGTGCGCTACTTTGTGTTCGGAAGGTTGGTTTTTTTTTTCATAGAAACATAGGTAGAATGATGATCAGTATGTAATAGTAGATTGTATTGTTAAATAGGTAAATTATATCGAGAACAATTTTTAAATTTTGTCATTTATTTTGTATATTATATTTGCTTATCTAATATAATATTACATAATATTATATCACAATTTCATTTTAACTATATTTTTATCTGAATATTTTAAAAGGTAAAAAACACAACAACAAATATAAAAAACATACTAAATGTATGTTTAACAAAACTTATTATTAGAATAAGAATCGTTCATAAATGCTGAGCATGTAAGAGCTAAAAATGGATGAATTTATTTCACTTTGACTTTAATGTGGAAGCCTAAAAATAAAATAGTATAATGAACAGATTTAAATATAAAAAATGTAGCCTAATTATGATAACTTATATATGTTTCTACAAAAAAATGTGTATAATAATATATTTGTCCTATACTTAAGTTCCCACAGAAATGTAGCATCTGAACAAATTAATTTCATGATCTATATTCCATGACAAGAGATGGCGTCTTAGGAACAATTTGTTTTATTATTATTCTATAACACTTTTTATTGATTAAGTATCTTATCAACCGATGAAAAGTAATTCCTTGGTTTTTACTGACATTTCAAAATCAACACAACACGTGACAACTCTACAAGCGCCTAGCGAGTGACTAATTAAAGTGTGGTGTAAGCACCGTAGCCGCAGTAGAATGGAACAGAGTAGTTGAATGCAGTGTCGCCTCTGGTACGTAGTACATAATAGCTCAATGGAAAATTAGCCGTTATTGAATACCAACTTTAGATTTAAATTTTATGAACACTGCATTGTTTTATTTTTTTTAGATTGTTCAAAAATTGGGAGGGGGTAGTAAAGTGTGGCATTATTGGCTCTGGCTTTTATATATTAAGTACGTAAACGTTCCTATAACACGTTTTACTGAGCAGAACACATGAAAAAATACTTCTTTATAAGTTACTATTACGCTAGGAATTCATTTAGCAATTCAACGGCAGCAAGTCAGAGTGAACAACCTAAGGCATCTGCGAGTAAAGACCTCCAAACCTAGCTATGGACGATTTCTTTGTATCACTTGCCGCAAATGTATTAAGTAAGTGCATCGATTCCTCATCCTGACCACTACCATGCAATTCCGCACGTATTTTTTTTTAAATTAAACTGAAGTGACAAAAGAGCTTACAGTCCACCTGCTGGTATTTGGCTACAGCAATCCATAGACACCTGAAGTCAACTTCATACAAAAAACGCTACAGATGCGTTATTACTCCTGAGGACTAAGATAGAGTGCATTAGTCTTTTTTTTTATAGTAAGGGTGATAAACGAGCCCACAGTCCACCTGCTGGTAAGTGGTTGCTGTGGTCCATACACATCTACACCTTGATTACGAATCAAAATGCAGATGCGTTGTCACCCGTGAAGACTATGATGGAACGCCTTGTTTCCAGTAAAATGGAATGGTCTCTAGTTTTCTACACTCACCATACGAAACACAGCAGCTTTGAGCTGTTATTTTGCGCTGGTATTTTGTGAGAGCGTGGTTCTTCTCCGATCGAGGCTGTAATTATACTGGCCTTAGTCCGAAACACAGCAGTACAAGCACTGCTATTTGGCAGGAGAAATAGGTAAGACTGTAGTTTCCACCCAGACAGAGTCCTACCACCTCGAACGATTCCGTTCCACTATAACCTAAGTTTACTTTTGAACACAGGCTTCCCCCAAAGAAGGCCTCACAGCAGAGATTTTCCTATAGTTGCTACGCTTGGCAAGCGAGTTGGCAATTGCAGTTTTTTAAGATGTTTCAGGAAGATGTTGTTTTCCTCATGTTTCAGTTTCAGTACTTCACCTCTTACGACACTCACGGGACGTTGTAGCTGCTACTGCACAGATATTATAATTTTATTATTTGTAATTATAATTATTAGAATTTTATTTACTATTATTTATACTTATGTATTATTTCTGGTGCTTCTGCTTTGTGGAATTCCTTGAGGGAGGCGTTCAGCAGTGAACTTATGAAGGGCTATAACTGTTATGGTGATGATTATTATTTTTCTCGGCTGGTTGGAATGTATGAAATATATGTAAAAATGACAAGATAAAACAAAAAAATATATGTTTTATAAAATACCATACATAAAAATTGTATGATGATGAAAATGTTAAGAAACCAACGGATGATGGCGGTCGGTAACGAGGAGCACGCCTCAGATGATCCGTGAGGCTAACCAAGATTACCGAATTCAGTCTACCATGTTTTGCTATGTGATCACAATGGATGGCTCTAGGTCAGCAAAGAGGCGGTGCATTATAGCCCGATAAGCAAACCCTCCAGTCTCTTTCGTCTTCCGGTCTAAAATACGCCCGCAATGCGTTTGTATTTATATGTTTTGTCCAAAGCGCATGCTGAGTCCGAGAGGATCTCGCCGATATCAATCCAATGGTGGGGATGATGGATGCTAGGCGTTGATGGGTGGTCCTGATACCTGGTGAAATATACTCACAACTATAAACAACCCGGTATGTAGAGCAAGTGACGTGTGGCCTGATGGAAAGCTCTTGTCCGACTGGCTGAGCCAATACGCTTTCGTGCAAGTATAGCTGGACACATACTCGTTCCTACAAGAATAACAAAATAAAATAACGTAAGTAAAGGTTCTTATAAAATTTCAATATCATTATAGTCAACCAAATCTAAGAAATACCTTTTGACAGCTGTCAAACTTTTTGCACGAAGCATGCCAACCAAAAAATGGGAACGTACAATATTCGATTCTTAAAAAAATCGATATCGATTATTTAGAGTTGGTAATCATTTACTGTTTGGTTTGAATAATACCAGAATAAATAAGAAACGGATAATTTAAAACACAACATTTATCAGTTTCTTCGTATTTGCATATATAAGCAGTAACATGCTTATTTCTAGAGGCACAGTTATAAAAGTTTATGATTGAAACTAGATTAAAAATAAATTTATTCAATAGCTTTCAGTACAACTAGCGGAGCTGTCGTTGTTTGTATTAACTATCATTTGATTTGTGCACTTTGTGAGCACAATAATGCAATCAATATTAATGTCTCTTTCAAAGTCATCCATAATCTATTTTTTCTTCTAACTTTTTCTACCAATTTTGCTCAATCATCCTTTGTGACATGAGACACGCTTTAACGAATATAGAAGAAACAGTTCAAAAAGTTAAATCCTAGTCACAAAATAAGAAGACAAAAACAAAATCACAAAATTACGCACATTAAGCTCCCGAAATGATAAGATTGAAATTACGTAGTGGTTTTTTCAGCGGCGCCTTGTATATGAGAATTTTTGTCTACACAAATTTACGTTGACACAGTAAAAAAAATGGTTTTGATTAAAACTACTTTTACGGATTTTATCGCGCTTTATTTATATTAATTTTAATACCCGACGTTTCGGGTGCTTTCCAGCACCCATGGTCACGGGGGACTGAGGTGACTGACGTCCCGATGTCAAAGTTAACCCGGAGTACCTATAATTAATAAAATTAAAACTAAACCCAAGCATACCACTGCAAGACTTCAAAATACAGTTAGTTCATTCTGCGTAGATCGGACCAAAGACAATAATTAAAAAGCTGAAGGTACTCCGGGTTAACTTTGACATCGGGACGTCAGTCACCTCAGTCCCCCGTGACCATGGGTGCTGGAAAGCACCCGAAACGTCGGGTATTAAAATTAATATAAATAAAACGCGATAAAATCCGTAAAAGTAGTTTTAATCAATGTATAGTGTTCGCGTAAATATAAGAAATCATTATAAAAAATGGTTTTATTCATGATTCATGTAATATAAGGAATTTTAAAAATAATAATTTAATTAAACAAATAATACATTTAAAAAATTAATGATTCGATTATTTGAATATTTTTACCGATTATTTGAATATTTTTGCCGATTATTCGCATAACAATGAATTTTAATAATGCAAACACTACGGTAAGGTTCATAGTGACATATCATTGAAACTACGTCAAGTAAAATAATTGATACTGGTTATTTTTTAAATATTTTGCTTTGATTGAAAGATTCGAATTTAAATTAGTGATAATAAACTATAAGCGTTGTAATAAAATATAGATAACGTTATAATTCTTCGGATTTACGTAAAAGGATATTTTAAATTGTGTGAGTACGCTTGTGCAAAGTTATTGCAGAATGATTAATGTGAAACGTCAAAAGGTATTTCTTAGATTTGGTTGACTATAGTATAATTTCAAGTGATACCGAAAACATACTCAACTTCTTGACATCCTTATTCTTTCTTTCTTTATCAGCCGGTAAAAATTCAGTGTTTAACCATTTAGTGGCGGTGTAAGAATACCCACTACACCATAGTCGTCCTGTGAGTGTCGTAAGAGGCGACAGAGGGAAACTGAAATAAGGGATAGGCAGTAGCATCTTCCTGACGATTCAAAGTATTATCAACTGCCGTCGCCAACTTGCCTGTTAAGTATGGCAACTATGACAATGAGGCAATCTATGAAGAAGGGTTATTTTTAGCAGGGGACTTAAGATAGACCAATGGAGAAAAATTTTCTCAAAAAAACAAGTGCAGAGAGAGAAGAAAAATCAATATTAACAACATTTCAGCTTATCACAAGTCCACGTCTGAACAACACCCAAGGCATGCTAAAAGTAAGTTTCAGAACCGTAGACTTACTGGATGTCTTACCAGGTCACTAATCCCTCTAGTGCGGGTTGCCTTACACTTCCCTTACTGGCATGAGGCTGTCCCTTGATAACCTTTCTTTTTTTATTATTATTCTTCTAGCCAGCACTTAACTACAATCCCACCCGATGGTAAGTGGTAATATAGCCTAAGATAGTGAAGCACACTGACTTAACAAAAGCCTGTTCACTCTTGCCTTGAAGACATCCACACTGTAATCGGATGGAAGGACAGAAGCTGGCAACTTATTCCAGTACGCATGATGAACGAATGTAGCAAATCGTTTGGTTCGAATGCGTGGTAAGACTACAACGAAAGGAGAACCGCCAACGTTCAGATTTGAGGATATCTCAACCCCCAACAACTGAAGGCGGTCGGTGTATTTCAGTGATACATTTCGGAAATAAGGAGCCAAGACTCCTTCTGGTGTTTTGGAGGCGTTAAATTTCAAAAGATTCATCATCACCCCATTCAGAGACTGGATGTAGGGTGAGTGCCTCTTCCCCAACAACTGTCTGTTCTTCAAGCTATACGTTTCCAATGTAGATTAGAATCACTTGGGTTTCTCGCGTGCTATGAAATTTACGGCCAGCGCTTAGTAAGGTAAGGCGAGCCTAGCTGTAAATGTAGTCTGAATAGCAGTGCCTATACTACTGTCTACTAGTCTGAAGCATATAGAGAGCCAGTATAATTACAAGCTGTAAGGCAATCCGTCTTAGTTCTCAGGGTTGATCAACATATCTGCAGGCTTTGTTTGAAGATGATTGCAGATAGTCCTTGGGCTATTTACCATCATCATCATTACAGCCCTTCACAAGTCCACTGCTGAACATAGGCCTCCCCCAAGTAATGCCACAAAGCACGGTCCTGAGCCACCTGCATCCATCGACTTCCTGCATGTCTTACCAGGTCGTCACTCCATCTAGTGGAGGGTCGCCCTACACTACGCCTACCGGTACGAGGCTGCCACTCGAGAACCTTTCTTCCCCATCGGTTATCGGTTCTTCGAGCTATATGGCCGGCCCATTGCCACTTCAGCTTACTAATCCGTTGGGCTATGTCGGTCACTCTGGTTTTACTGCGGATATCCTCATTTCTGAGTCTATCACGCAGTGAAACTCCGAGCATAGCCCTCTCCATAGCTCGCTGAGCGACCTTGAGCGTCCTCATACGGCTAGCGGTGAAGGACCACGTCTCAGATCCGTAAGTCATCACTGGCAACACGCACTGGTTGTACACTTTAGTTTTCAGAGATTGAGGTATACCTGACGAGAAGATGTGTCGTAATTTCCCGAACGCTGCCCAGCCGAGTTGAAACCGTCGATTGACCTCTCGGTCGAAGTTGGACTTACCTAGTCGGACTATTTGTCCCAGGTAAACGTACTCGTCAACAACTTCGAGCATAGTGCTCCCAACAATTACCGGCATAGGTGTGACATGGACATTAAACATGATCTTTGTTTTGTCCATGTTCATCTTAAGACCTATCCGTTGGGAGACACCATTGAGGTCATTGAGCATAGTGCTAAGGTCTTCCAGCGATTCTGCCGTAAGGACTATATCGTCGGCAAATCGAAGGTGAGTGATGTACTCGCCATTGATGTTAATACCGTATCCTTTCCAGTCCAGTAGCTTGAAAACGTCTTCCAACGCAGCGGTGAAGAGTTCGGGGATATAACATCACCCTGTCTTACACCTCTCTGCAGTTGGATAGGTTTCGTACTCTGGTTCTGTACTCGGATAGCCATCGTAGCCCTACTGTACAAACACTTCAGCACTTCAATATACCGACAGTCAACTAGGCACCGCTGAAGAGACTGTAGCACCGCCAAAATTTCGACGGAATGAAAGACTTTCTCATAGTCCACATACGCCAGGCAAAGTGGCAGATTGTACTCTTCGGACTTCTGTACAATTTGCCGAAGGGTATGTATGTGGTCTATGGTACTGAAGCCTTTTCGGAAACCGGCTTGTTCGGGAGGCTGGAAGTCGTCGAGTCTGCGTGCAAGACGATTCGTAATGACTCTCGAAAACAGCACGTAGACGCGGCTCAGAAGGAAAATCGATCTGTAGTTCTAGAAGAGAGCGTTGTCGCCTTTCTTAAAGAACAAGACCACCGCGCTTCTGCTCCACGCCTCCGGAGTAGTGCCACCATGGAGGACGGAATTGAAGAGCTTCTGAAGGACTTCAAGTACCGGTGTTCCACCCGCTTTCACAAGCTCCGCTGTAATTCCATCCTCGCCCGGGGCCTTGCCGTTTTTAAGGTGGTGGAGAGCCATTCTAATCTCGCTCAGACTGACGTCCGGGATATCATCGGAATAGTGTCGGATAAGACTTGCTCTTGGATCATTACTCACACTTGCGTGGGGCTCCAACGATGATGTGTACAGCTGCCCATAGAACCTCTTAATCTCACTCAGAATCTCAGGTGTCCCGGAAACGATGTTGCCACACTCAGTCTTCAGCCTTGACAGTTGGCTCTTTCTGGCAGACAGATCTCTGGCAAAGACTTTGGAACCCGGGTTCCGCTCGATCGCTTCTTTAATACTAGCAGTATTAAAGTTGCGTAAGTCTCGCCGCATGCATTTGGAGATCTGTCTGTTCAGTTGCCTGTATGCTGTCAAATCTGTTGACGATTGCAGCCTCATCTCCCGTCTAACAGCCATGAGATTAAGAGTGTGATCGGAGAGTTTTTGTGTTCTTCTGCGGCGGGTCTTGCAGAACTTAGCTCCGACCGCATGGACAGTTTCCACGAGCTTGTCATTCATATTGTCCACTGCATTGCAATCCTCTAGGCACTGAAAGTGGTTTTGTAACTCGAGCTGAAAGGTTTGGGGATTCTGGATTAGAGCACGAGGGGAACGGAGCGTTGACTTCATTAGACGAGACCTCTCCAACTTAACGTTTAGGTTCAGTGTGCCTCTAAACATTCGGTGATCGCTGCCAGTTTTCACCCTTGCGATCACTGAGACATCACTGAACAGTTGGCGTCTGGTCGTCATAATGAAGTCAATCTCATTTTTTGTCGAACCGTCGGGGCTCGACCAGGTCCACTTCCCGTGGGGCCGCTTCTGGAAGAAAGAGTTCATCATAAAGAGTCCCTCTTTCTCCATAAAGTCGGCCAGCTGCTGGCCCCTTCGGTTCCGTTGCCCTACTCCAAATTTCCCCACCTTCAGCTCACCGCTTTCTCTTGTGCCCAGTTTTGCGTTGAAGTCTCCCATCAACACCGTGTAGAGGGTTTTGGAGGAATGCATGGCTCTGGAAATATCCTCATACATTTCCTCCACCTCCTCATCGGGATGTGCAGAGGTTGGTGCGTAAACCTGTATGACCTTCAGCGAATACCGTTTGGTGATTCTGAGTATCAGGTACGCGACCCTCGTCGACACACTCCCAATCTTTACAACGTTGTTGACGAGAGACTTGTGGACGATAAATCCGACACCTCCTTGGGACAGATGGTCGCCCTCCCGGTGGTAGAACAAGTTGCCGGACTCGAGGATTGCCGTGTCCTCCCCCTCTTTTCGGACCTCGGATAATCCAATAATATGCCAGCGCAACTTGTCTACCTCTTCTTCCAGCTCCAGTATCTTCTCGTCAATCCTCAGGGTGCGTGCGTTATATGTTGCCAGGTCGAGTCGTCGTAGGTGGCAACCGAACCTCCACCGGAAATTCTTAGCACCCTCTGCCCCGCCGTTACCATGGTCGCCACCGTATCCAGGAATAGCGGGGCCGCCGGGGACTGGGGGCCGTTTATTTGTGTCGTCGCTCATGCTCAAATATCCCCCATTTGACATAGTTATTATAACACAGTTGTTATTAGGAAGATGCTGCTGCCCATCTCCTGCCTGTTTCCCTCTGTCGCCTCTTACGACACCCACGGGAAGATATGGGGTAGTGGATATTCTCAACCGCCACTACACGGCATACCATCAGATTTATTAAATTGATATTAAATATATAATAAATATTAATATTAAAAATTCTACATGACCCTTTTCACCATCTGGAAAAAATAGGGTATATCATAGTGCATGCTACCTATGGCATTAATACTTTACAAAAAAAAATTGAATTAAATAAGTAAATAAATTAAAATCTATCGAAATTCAAATCATATTCACCCTAGCCTGTCACCCTGCGAAGTGACAAGGTCAAAGATGCCTGCTAAATTTATTGTTTTATTGCCGTAAAGTAGGGTAGATATGATTTGAATAATTAATTTATTTAATTCATAATGTTTTATTTTTTGTAAAATATCAGTGCCATAGGCTTCTACTCCGTATACATGTTACACCCTATTTTCCCAGATGGTGAAAAAGGTAATCCAGTATAATAAAAATTAATATAATTTTCTTAATATTCTTTTAATATCATGAGTAAAGCCAGTCTGTTTTTCAAAATTATATCCTTACCCAACACAAGTCAATGCCTCTTTAGGTTGACAGGTGTCAAAGAAATGTGGCCTTGGAGATCCCACAACTAGTTTTAAAGTCTGTATGACTGTAAGGTTCAACAAAACGCCATATATGTACTCTTTGTACCAACGTAATGCCATACGCTTCCCAGTTTCAGCATTCTTATTGGCACACTGTCTCTCTACAAACAACATCTGAAAAAATTAATGACAAATATATTTAACTTACAATACTTAAAAATTTATTTATATCCTATACATTTAAACGAGCAATTCTGTGTATATATATATATATATTATCATATAATCGGAATCTCGGAAACGGCTCCAACGATTTTCATAAAATTTTTTGTGCAGGAAGTTTCGGGGGCAATAAATCGATCTAGCTAGGATTTATTTTTAGAAAATGTCTTTATGTCCGTGTTTTTAGGCAATGAAAAACTGCTACAATTTCGTTAGAATAAGAAGGTAAATTCTGACAGTTTATTAATGATTACAAATAGCTTAATTGGTATATTGGGCGGTCACAAAATCGTAATACTGTTACAAGCTTGAATTACCAAAATTAACTCTTTAATTCACTTTACACTAATTAAAACTTAGAACACTAATAATTAACCACACTGATTCACTTTATTTCGCTCCGAAGCTTCGCTTGTCTCGCCGAATTCAATACTTCCCCGATCGCATCTTGCAGCGCCTAAAATACACATTAGCACCGAAACATCCAGAATATTCAAGTAAATACGCGCACCAATCGCCAAGGCGCCGAAAGTTCGAGTGTCGGCTTCTAGAAGCTTAGTTCTTCGTTTCTATACTAAATGGAGCTGTCGATTGAAAGATTAGTGATGTCATTTTCTGGAAAGCTCCCCTCGCTCTCGTCCCTGACACTAGATGGCGCTAGTGCCGGCTACATGACGTGAACTTAGGCGCGCAACAATACCATGGTTCGAGCCCAGACCAACCGACCATTTTTTAATTTTTTTTTCTAGTTCCTTTCTTTTTTGAGAAAATCTATTTTTTCGAGCCCTTTTTTTAGTATTTTTTAAAAACACGAAAATTTAAATTAAACTAATTGCAGTCATGATTTTTTATTCAAATAACCAGTTCAGTTTTTTCTATTATGTCGCTAAGATCAAAAAATATTATTCGTATTTCATCAGTATGTAATTTGTATCTAAATATAATTTCCAAAACACACGAATTAAAAAAAACCGAGCGAAAAATACGAGCAAAGCTCGGTCAACCGGGTACTAGTTCTTTAGTGTATGGATGTCAAATGAGCACAACTGATGGTCAGTGTATATGTTGTGGCTCATAAACCACAACATACATTTACTATCAGTTGTGCTCATTTGAGAATCAAAATGCAGAATGGGGTGTTAAGGACTAAGATGAAATGCTCAGTTTCTAGTAAATAGCGTCATGCTCTCTATATTTGATTCTGTGTTCACCATTAGCAGTCTGTGGGCAAATCTATCCAAAAATGTATGCCGATTGCCACATTGTTAGAAAGTGGATGTATAAATTATTGGAAGTAAACTAAGTCAATAATATAAAGAAATAATAATAATAATAATAACAATAATAATATAATATCGGCGTAGGGAAGTGACGACCCCATCGCCCGCTGACGTAACAGTTATGTGACAAAACTGCTACGTCGGCGCAGTCAGTCAGCATCCTGCCAAGAGGTGTGAGCGCCGTGCCTAGGCAAAATTGTAGGTGCAAAGGTCCGTTTGTGCATATGACCCAACCACGAAACGGTGCCGGGTTTGGGCGTCTCCCGTTATTTGGCGCCCATAAAATGGATGATGGCACAAAGAGGAACGCGCATAGGGCCGCTGCCTGGGGGTCGCCGGGGCGCGTCTGGAGCTGGCGCTGGACGCGGCAGCATGCGGGCCGCCAGCCGAGCGCGAGGAGCTGCACGATCACTTAGCAGCCCCTCGCATCCATCATCCCCACCAGAAGGCTTGGTGTCGGCTGGGTCTTCTCGGACTCAGCAAGCGGCACCCGCCGCTGGTGGAGCACGTCGCATGCGTTGGACAAAACCTATGAATGAAAACGCATTGCGGGCGTACTATAGGGCGAAAGGGGAAGAAACTGTGGGAATAGCGTATAGGTCTCGGATGCATTGCTTTTTTGCTGAGCTGGAGCCTTCTACCCCCGTCACGGAACAAAACCTGGCAGACCGAGTTCGGTACATCATGCGCTCGAAAATATTTGATGATGCCGAACTCGGACGACTACGACGTGAGGCTATTCCGTCGTCGAATGAATCGGCTATGGCTGGAGATGCAGCTCCACATTCGACAGACCAGCATCCACACGTGGAAGCCGCCCTGGATCTTCCCGTTGTGGTTGATTCGAACGACGATGAAATAGTCTCCCACGAACTAGAGAAAATGAGGAGTATACTGGAAGAGGCGATTTTGGAAACGCGCAGCACCCCTATCGAAAATCGACCGCGACTTCCCCCGCATACCCCTAAGCAAGCGAAATCGGGCTGTCGTGAGGGCTCTTAACCCAATGCTGGTGACCTATTTGGAAGCCAGCCGGGACCTTTGCGAGACGGACTCAATTCTCTTTGGCGCCGCAGTGGCAGTTTGCCGTATTATTGGCGCCAAACTTCCCATGGCTGGACGCGCTACTACACAAAGTAGCGCCATCCCAGCCTGGAGAAAAAGAATCGAGGACCGTATCGCAAAGGCAAGGGCCCTTATCGGCAGACTGACAAGCTTCAGGTCGGGTAATAATAGACCGAGGATTATGCGCACCGTTAGGATGGCGTTTGCTGGGACAAATATCAGTTTGTCCCAGCCGGATATCACGCAGAAACTAACGGAGCGCATAGACGACCTGAAGCAAAAGATCGCTGCTTGGGGGAAGCGGATTCGACGATTTACCGACAGGTCAAGGCGGTTCAACCAGAATCGTCTCTTCCAGAGTGATCAGAAGAGGCTCTATAAATCATTGGAGCGGCCAAAGGTATGTGGAGCGGGCCAAGGACCGGATCAGGCAGACATTATCGCATTCTGGCGTGGCCTGTGGTCAGAGCCCGTAAACCACAGCGAGGGCCCTTGGATGGAAGTTGTGGCGAGCCAGGGTGCGAGTGTTACGCCTATGGACCCCATCACCGTAACGCCGGAAGACGTGGCTGAGGCGGTCCGTAGGGCCCCGAACTGGAAAAGTCCGGGGCTCGACGGGCTGCATCATTACTGGCTGAAGGGGTTCATAGTGTGTCACGCTGTGCTCGCCCGACAGTTTCAAGAGGCTCTCGACCAGAAGTCGCTCCCGAGCCTCTTCACTACTGGGATCACTCACTTGGTTCCTAAAGATCAGGATACCACAGACCCGAGCAAATACCGCCCCATCACGTGTCTACCCACCATATATAAGACACTGACATCCATTTTGAGCGCGAGAATCACTCGGCACCTGGAGCTAAACCAGTTGATGTCACGCGCTCAAAATGGATGTCGGGGCGGTGGTCGTGGAACCAAGGAACCACTCCTCATTGACGCGGTCATTGGCAAAGTGGTGAAACGCAACCGTCGGAACTTCTCTGCCGCCTGGATAGACTATAGAAAGGCATTCGACTCGGTGCCCCATACATGGCTAAAGAGGGTCCTCGAGCTGTACAAGATTGACTGTACAGTTAGAGACTTCCTCGAGCAGTGTATGGGGCAGTGGAGTACGATCCTTTGTCATCTGGGCGAGCGGATGATGGCTGCGGAGAACCACATAAGGATAAGAAGGGGTATCTTCCAGGGCGATTGTCTGAGTCCAATCTGGTTCTGCCTCTCTCTAAACCCTCTCAGTACCTTACTGGAGGGCTCCGGGAGGGGATTTCAGCTACGGAGAGGAGGGACAAAAGTGACCCACCTTTTCTATATGGATGACCTCAAGTTATTCGCCTCCAGTCGCTCCCATCTTATGGAACTGCTAAACATCACTTGTGAATTTAGCAGTTCCATTGGAATGGAGCTGGGGACGGATAAGTGTGCGGTCCTCCATGTTGAGAGGGGAAGGGTTGCTAACTCTGAGGGCATAGACTTGTCTATGCCCGTCAACTTAAGGACCCTTTCCGAGGCTGAAACATACCGATACCTGGGTATGTCACAGAACATCGGTATCGATGAGGCTGGTATGAAACAGTCAGTTTGCGACGTGTTTTATGCACGCTTGACCAAAGTGCTTAACAGCCTTTTGTCCGGTGTGAATAAGTCACACGCATATAATTGCTGGGTCATGCCTGTCCTCATGTATACCTTTGGCATACTCAGGTGGACTCAGACTGAGCTTAACGCCCTGGATAGAAAAGTCCGCACTACCATGACGTCCCATAGGATGCATCATCCGAGATCGTCGGTAATGAGGCTGTACTTGCCGCGAAAGCATGGTGGGCGTGGCTTTCTGAGCGCGCTCACCATGCATAATCGCGAAGTGTGCAGTCTCCGTCAATACTTCTTGACGAGATCGGATGATCCATTCTATAATGACGTCATTTCTAGTGATAAAGGGCTTACCCCTCTATCCTTAGCCAACGAGCAATGGCAGGACCCGGCAGTGCTTAGCATTCCCGACCGGGAGACCGTATGGAAGGAGAAGGAGCTCCACGGGAGGTACTACAAGGCTCTACATGAGCCCTTCGTAGATACAGTCGCCTCCCTCAACTGGCTACGTTTCGGTGACCTTTTCGGGGAAACCGAGGGTTTTGTCTGTGCAATACAAGATCAGGTTATTAAGACCAACAACTATCGGAGATACATCCTAAAGGATGGCACCGTCGACGTCTGTCGAGCTTGTCGCCATCCCGGGGAGTCACTTAGGCATGTCATCTCCGGTTGTTCGGCGCTTTCTAACTCTGAGTACTTGCACAGGCACAACTTAGTAGCCAGAATTCTACACCAGGAGCTCGCTCTGAAATACGGTCTCGTGGACCGGAAAGTGCCGTATTACAAGTACTTGCCGGAAGCCGTGCTCGAAAATGACCGCGCCAGGCTCTACTGGGACCGGGCCATCATCACAGACAGGACTATTCTTGCGAATAAACCTGATATTGTGCTGATGGACCGGGCACAGTCAAGAATATTTTTGGTCGATATTACCATCCCGTATGACGAGAACCTCGTGAAAGCCGAAACAGATAAGCAATCAAAGTATCTGGACCTGGCTCACGAGGTGACCGACATGTGGGGTGGTATGCCGACCGAAATTATTCCTGTAGTCGTCTCTGCGAATGGGCTAATCCCAGTTAGCCTCTCTGGTCATCTGAGGCGACTGGGACTCCGTGACGGACCGCTCCGGGCTCAAATGCAGAAGGCGGTGCTCCTTGATACTGCCCGCATCGTCCGCCGGTTTCTTTCCCTTTCCCCCTAACCCTCGGCCGTTTGGTCTCCCCTGCCGAGGGCTTCCATCTGGTTGGGCTTTTATTTATTTATGTATTTTTGTATTTATTTTATTTTATTAATATTTATCTTTTCATTTTCATTTATAATTATATATTTATACATCCCAACCAGATGAGAAAACTATATAGATACCCCACATAATAATAATAAGAGGGTCCTCGAGCTGTACAAGATTGACTGTACAGTTAGAGACTTCCTCGAGCAGTGTATGGGGCAGTGGAGTACGATCCTCTGTTATCTGGGCGAGCGGATGATGGCTGCGGAGAACCACATAAGGATAAGAAGGGGTATCTTCCAGGGCGATTGTCTGAGTCCAATCTGGTTCTGCCTCTCTCTGAACCCTCTCAGTGCCTTACTTGAGGGCTCCGGGAGAGGATTTCAGCTACGGAAGGGACGGAATAAAAGTGACCCACCTTTTCTTCACCTCAGGTTATTCGCCTCCAGTCGCTCCCATCTTATGGAATTGCTAAACATCACTTGTGAATTTAGCAATTCTATTGGAATGGAGCTGGGGACGGATAAGTGTGCGGTCCTCCATGTTGAAAGGGGAAGGGTTGCTAACTCTGAACGTCAACTTAAGGGCCCTTTCCGAGGCTGAAACATACCGATACCTGGGTATGTCACAGAACATCGATCGATGAGGCTGGTATGAAACAGTCAGTTTGCGACGTGTTTTATGCCCGCTTGACCAAAGTGCTTAACAGCCATTTGTCCGGTGTGAATAAGACACACGCATATAACGGCTGGGCCATGCCTGTCCTCATGTATACCTTTGGCATACACAGGTGAACTCAGACCGAACTTAACGCCCTGGATAGAAAAGTCCGCACTACCATGACGTTCCATAGGATGCATCATCCGAGATCGTCGGTATTGAGGCTGTACTTGCCGCGAAAGCATGGTGGGCGTGGTTTCCTGAGCGCGCTCACCATGAATAATCGCGAAGTGTGCAGCCTGCGTCATTACTTTTTGGCGAGATCGGATGATCCATTCTATAATGGCGTCATTTCTAGTGATAAAGGGCTTACCCCTCTATCCTTAGCCAACGAGCAATGGCAGGACCCGACAGTAGTTTAGCATTTCCGACCGGGAGACCGTATGGAAGGAGAAGGAGCTCCACGGGAGGTACTACAGGGCTCTTCATGAGCCCCTCGTAGATACAGTCGCCTCCCTCAACTGGCTACGTTTCGGTGTCTTCTTCGGGGAAACCGAGGGTTTTGTCTGTGCAATACAGGATCAGGTTATTAAGACCAACAACTATCGGAGATACATCCTAAAGGATGGCAATGTCGACGTCTGTCGAGCTTGTCGCCATCCAGGTGAGTCGCTTAGACATGTCATCTCCGGTTGTTCGGCGCTTTCTAAGTCTGAGTACTTGAAGACACAACCTAGTAGCCAGAATTCTACACCAGGAGTTCGCTCTGAAATACGGTCTCGTGGACCGGAAATTGCCGTATTACAAGTACTTGCCGGAAGCCGTGCTCGAAAATGACCGCGCCAGGCTCTAATGGGACCGGGCCATCGTCACGGACAGGACTATTCTTGCGAATAAGCCTGATATTGTGCTGATGGACCGGGCACAGTCAAGGATATTTTTGGTCGACATTACCATCCCGTATGGCGAGAACCTCGTGAAAGCCCAAACAGATAAACAAACAAAATATCTGGACCTGGCTCGCGAGGTGACCGACATGTCTGCCGGCCGAAATTATTCCTGTAGTCGTCTCTGCGAATGGGCTAATCCCAGTCAGCCTCTCGGGTCATCTGAGGCGACTGGGACTCCGTGACGGACCGCTCCGGGCTCAAATGCAGAAGGCGGTGCTCCTTGATACTGCCCGCATCGTCCGCCGGTTTCTTTCCCTTTCCCCCTAACCCTCGGCCGTTTGGTCTCCCCTGCCGAGGGTTTCCATCTGGTTGGGCTTTTATTTATTTATTTTTGTTTTTATTTTATTGATATTTATGTACATTTATCTTTTCATTTTCATTTATAATTATATATTTATAGATCCCAACCAGATGAGAAAACTATAATACACCACATAATAATAATAAATCATTTTTTTCACAAAGGTATAATTTCACTTATTAATAATACGGTTGTAGATAATTTTGACCTTTGTGAGAGACTGGTGTCCATACTAGGGTAATCCCTGTGTTATAGATCACCAGGCCCTCACCCTAACGGATAGCACATATTACATTTTTAAAAATATTACAAGAGAAATACAAGAATAAGAAATATTTCAACAAGGAAAGATTCTATATGTTGTTTTTAAAGTTATTTCTATATGTGTAACAGTGTGTATGTGTACGTGTGTTTTTTGTGTGTTGTGTGTGTGTGTGTGTGTGTGTGTGTGCGGCGTGTGTGTGTGTTTGTGTTGAGAAAAAAAGTAAGCTAAAAGTATATTTATGTCCCACAGCTGGGCACTGGCATCTTCTCATTTTGATAGAACCTAATGTGTGTGGGTGAATTTTACATGTCTAGAAGAGCAAGCCAAGGGCGATCGAATTTTAAATGGATCGAATGGTAAATTTGCAAACTCTTATTGGAGTTAGCACACAGTCCTGAAGGTAAATGGTTGCTGTTGCCAATAGACATCTATATCTATTCTTAATTACGAATCAAAATGCAGATGGAATGTCTCGTTTCCAGTAAAAAGGGTCTCCAGTTCCCTAAACTTGCCATACGAAGCACAGAAGCGTTAAGCTGCAATTTTACGCTGGTATTCTGTGAGCGATCTATTCGTGCTACAACTATACTACTAATATAACTGCAGCATGGCTCTACCACATATTCACACAAAATCCCGCGTTTTTATGATTGCGTCAAGTTTCATCATTCGATCATATTGCAGAAATAATTTTCATACCTATTTATAATTTAATTATCTATGTTTATTCAAAGAAAACGAAGTGTGAAAAACGTCTTCACTGAGGTCATCGCTTTAAAGCCATTGTCAGTATTACGTAATTTGTATAAATTTAATCTCACAAGGTATCTTGAATCATCTGTTAACTAGATGTATGTGACACAATAAGTATGTACTCAAGATAACAAATATACTCAACTATGACTAGTATAGTTTTTTATCTAATAGTAGTCATTCAATATTATGCTAACAATGTTTTCTAATGGCATAAGGTAATTTATTCCATTGAGTATGTTGTTTAAATTCTATGTTTGTTTTTTTAGCAAAGTTCAAAAAAGAGGTTTAACAATTCGAATTACCGTGTAGCGGCAATGTGAGAATATCCACTACCCCATATCATCCCTGTCGTAAAATGGAATTCCCTCCGAAACAAATTAAATGGGCAGTAGCAGCCTCCTATAACAACCAAAAATAAATATTGTTCTATGTTCAGCAGTGGGCTTTAATAGGCTGCTTCAAGGGCATCAATAACCTGCCACTGTGTTGGCAAAGAAGCATCGATTGCATGGGTAATTTCTTTGATTAATAGAAATAAAAAATATCAAAAAAAGTTACTTTAAATTATTTCTTTAAAAAACGGATATTATCTATAAATATACAAAATCATCGTATTTTTGCCTTGAACATTTGAAATCACACAATATTCACAGCCCATTCACTCAATCTGTAAGTAAGTATTTATTGGCAATATTTTAAAATTCTTTGTTGAAAATCTCTACTCTGTTTGATTACAGACTATTAAGTGTCTGACATTGTCCTTAAAGTAATAACATACATATGCTTTTACTTACACTGGAGACATTGGATTGAGACATCAACAAATTAATGACAATTTGTGCAAGGGACAATGTGTTTTACATTGGCAGTATGAACATAAACAATGAATTTTTTATTTTAGTTAATTTATTGTATAATTTGCAATGTTAAAATATATTTTAAAATTTTAACTTTCTTCACTCCGTCTCCATAAAAACTTTAACATTGCCAAATCTCACAGTTTCCTCCATTCACAAAATATGCTTAAAAAGTTTTCAACACATATTAATGCATAGATTAACTTATTGACAGTTCAGTTGTTATCACACTTATTATTCAGTATGAACTTTTTCAAATTTTCTTTGAAAATTTGGACAATACAAAACTACAAAAATTTATATTAAACAAAACAAAGCCAAGATAGCAAAACAACTGTTATGAAAAACTTACAACAGCTAATGGCAACAGAACTGTAACTCCCAGCAACCATTTCCAACTTATAGTGTCACCAGTAAATGGATGGGAAAGGGCTGGGTCATTGCATTGGAAGCCCACTTTTCCTCCAGGAACTAGTTTCAGCTCTATCACCAGGAACAAGAAGATCACTGTAATAATCATAATAATAAAATAATTACTTTATTCACATAATGTTTATGCAATGCGTGCGGTGTCAATGTAAGAATATCCTCAACGGATGTCATAAGAGGCAAAAGAGAGAAACTAAAACAGGAGATGGACGGCAACACCATCCTGATAACATCTTAAAATAATAAAACCTGTGGTTACAAACCTACTTGCCAATAGTGGCAACAATGACAAATACCAAACTGACAAATACCCCTATATAACTTTCATAGTTGTAATCTTCGATCAATTATATAATTGATCGAAGGTTGTAATGGATGGATGGATGATGGACTAATGTATATTTTATTTATATTTCTTACCCAAAAAATTCACGAGGAAAATTCCTTATCAAACCTAGCCTAGCCAAAATAACCCATGCTTACTAATAGATTGTGATTAGGCCTTGCATTCGAATATTATAGATTGTCCAAATATTCGAATATTAAATCCGCTATATTCGAATATTGAACCCATTTTCTGAAAGCCAAACTTGGAATATTGATGTGTACAAAATATTACTTTTAAGATTCGCGCGCGATATTTCGATTATAGGGCGCGCCGCGCCGGTGTTCCAGAGCGGTGGTGTTGGTAGTTTGGCGCCTTTGCTCGTGCATTTGTCTTCCATCTGCATGCGTGCAGCACGGACGGCGGAGCGTGGTTATAATTTTGTTGTTTGTCATCGAGGTTTTAGTCTTTTTGAATGAGTTTTGTGCTTACAAAGTTCTACTTGTCTACTCATCTACTACCCAGAAAAGGAATAACTTAATATTTTGAAGGGCAAGTTAGCATCCTAAGATTTATCTTTGGAAGAGGACATAGCATTCGTAGTGACTGCAAGAGTGATGTGTGCTATGAGTCGACAAGTGCCTTTGTATCGTCAATTATGTTTCGCACATGATATCCAATGTGCAGTGCTGGATGCTATATACAAAAAGAATCAAGATGAGCAAGAAGAAGAAGGAGAAGAGTCTGAAGGTAGCAAAGAGGATTCGCGCGCGTTACAAATGAGGATACTGACTTTAACAGTGATAGCGAGGGAGGAGTATTTGCAGTTGAGCAACATCTAAACAGAGGCCGAGACCTACATTTATACGGGGATGTAAATTTAAAAATGTACCTGACCTGATCCTATTTTAAAGATACCACGTTTAGTTTAGGTGAGCTAGCTTTGCTGCAGGAATTGTCCACTTCTTTGAATATTGTAAAGGCAACAGTAGAGGCGCTGTGCAAAGAAAATTCAAAGCTGCTTACTGCGGAAACAGCCCTTCAATTTATGGTTGCAAAACTTGAAAAGGCGAACAGATTTATTAGTGACAGGCTACTCGAAGCTCTGAAGAATAGAATTGCTCAGAGATGCTTACCAAATTTAATCTGCACATTAAAATATCTCCACAATATCAGTAAATATTACACTGATTATGCAGAGCCACCTTCGTCTATCTTTCCATTACCAGGCAATAACATTGTTACAGAAGTAATAACTGAAATTAACGACAGATATTTTTCTAAAAGACAGAACTCTCATAACGACGAAGATATCATAACCTTAGTTCAACTTCAGCAGCATCAACAAAATGAGTCACACCAGGTAACATTTGTAATAAGTTTTATAGAAGAGTTACAAAAAGCGATATATGACACTAATTCTGCAACTCCTTTGAGGTTTATAGCAAATTATATGTGTTAGTGTACTTTTGTACAATGTGGCATTGATCTGATTCTGATCTCAAATTCTAATACTGCTTAATAATTTGTAATCTATCACAGTTGAAAATCTTTCTTTTAAATCTTTTAAGTTTTGTAAGTAAGTAATATATAAGTTTGTAATGATGTTATTATTATATAAATATTATGACAATACTCAGAACTCGATTTATAAGACTGTTGTGTAATTGTGCTGTGGTTGTCTTGTTAAGCACCAACTTTTTATAGTTTTTAGAGGATTGCTATGGCATTCATTGTTATGGCACTAATATAACAATGAAATTCCAAGCAGTTCTTTAATTTTTAACTATGATTTTGTTTTGATTCAGAGAAATTAGACTCTAAGTAAGAGAATGGGCAATAAAAATATGATTATTATAACAGCTTTTGTTTTTCTTTAATTATTCGAATAATTCGAATAATACCTAAAAAAAGTCGAATATTCGAACACCAAAAAATTACAAATATTTGCAAGCCCTAATTGTGATATAACCATCTCAGTTAGGCAAGACATAAAATAAACTTCAGAATGGTGATGGGAACGCTTAACAAGCACAAAAAAATGTTAATGAAAAGAATATGTTTACTGTCATTATAAAGGGAAGTATCCTCCTGAACAGTTCAAACATTCATCCCGGCTATGTCCTAAATATCTATCAACAGTAACTGCCATACAATGCGGCGACGCAAATACCGCCATTTTTGATTTAAAAATTACTGGAAATTACTATTGTAAAGGAGGTAGGGGAGAGTTGCCCAACTCTCCCCTACCTCCTAGTTGGTAGACATGGGCAGCCCCTAATAATTCCCGTTCAATTGTAAAATTTATTTTATTTTTATGTTGGTTGTTTATTTAACTCATTGGCAAAACTGTCCATCCATAAACATTTCGTTGTGGTTTTGTCATATATAATCGAAGAACCAGTGAAGATAAGTTGAGTTGAGACGACTCCGTGGCGTAGTGGCTTAGCCATGAGTGGCTGCGCTGGGGGTCGCGGGTTCGAATCCCACACGGAACAAGTATTTGTATGGCCCATAAATAATTGTTCTGGGTCTGGATGTTTGTCCTTGTGCAATTTATGTTTGTAAGCTGCCCCCACGATACAGGAGAAAATCCTAGTGTAGGGGTAATATTTAAAAAAAAAAGTATTTTATTTTTAATTTATTTCCGTTCTATATTTTCTAACATATATATTAATCTATAACTCATGTTAAAATATCTATCCATAAAACTTCAGTTGAAACAGGGAACTTAAGTTGAAAAAGTATACAGAGGGATCAATGGGTAGTTATTTTGAGGGTGGTTTGGGCATGCTCAATGCTCCCACACCTTTAAGTAATGTATATTGTAAAACAGTTTGTTTTACATTACCAAAATTAAGTTAAAGTTTAGATGATTTTAATTGTAGAAAGACGCCGCTGGTATAAAAAGAAGGGTAAGCGATGCGAAATTACGAAAGACAGAATATATGTGCCATAGAAGAAGTATCAAAAGGCGGTAACATAAAAACAACTGGTGACAAGTTTGAAAGACTTAGAACAAACTTGCTACAATGTCTTAAACAAGATTATGTATAGGATTCTTCATCCAGGTTTATATCTTGACAAATTTTCAGTTTATATTATGTATCATGGCTGTTTTAAACATCATGCCCAAACCTCCCACAGGGGGTGCCTGAACCTCCCTACCATGGGGATGTTTGGCCACAATTCACATATTTCTGAAATCCTTTTGTTACTTTGAGACTGATTATAATTTGTAGACTTTTCTTTGTAAGACATCTTGCCAAATGTATGGTGCAATTGAACTTGGCAATAAATAGTGAATACATATCTATATTAAAAATGTGCTTTTTTATTACCTCATATGTAAAAAAGTGCCCATCCCTCCCCTTTTAACTTCTTACTTCCCATTTTACTTTGCTTTTAACACTAATCTTATTATCTTAATATACAACACGTAACATAATTAACGCACTTTGAGAAAGTAGTTTGTTCAGAATCGTTTACTGAATCAATTCCTATCATTTTTAATATAGGTAATTTTTTATCCCAAAAATAATTAAAACTATGTAAATTACAATCACACTAAATCTGTACAGTCAAAACAAACTGAAAAGGACCGTAACTTAAGGCAATAAGACTTTTAAGAGTGCAGTTTTATTCGTATTATTACTAATTCTATCATTCAATAAAAATAAAGAAAAATGAATTTTATTTCAAGCATGTTAAAGTCTTTGCGTTACTGAATTTGTACTGTGACCACAACATTCTTCTGGAATTAGTATAACTATTTTAATAAATAATCAGTGCATAAAAATGTTTAACTAAAAATTCAGTGTTTGTATTATGATTAAAACATAATATACTAATTGGGATGTGCGTTACTTATTGTTACAATTTATTGTACATATATTGCAAAATTTTGGTATCGTTTTATGACAGATGCAAAATATCGTAAACAGTATGGAGATGGAAACTAAAATCGTAATCGTAATAAAATGTACATACCTCGATGCCAACGATTGGTTTTAGACCAATAAAATTTTAATTTATCCAACATTTTAGCGTGCACGTCTTTCCTCGTGAAAAAACACTTTGTTACTACCACTAGGTTATATGTTACTAGATGTGTTCTGTGGTTACTGGCTTAGGTAATGATAATGATTAATGATACACATTACAATTACATAGAAACTAGCACTCCTTATTACCTAGTCCTATATAGTTTGTGGTTAGAAATTAGAAATGACTCGATGTAGGAGTCCAATTCCAAATAACTTTTTCCACATTGCTTAGAATTGTTATTAACACAATAACAATTATGAATGTTAATATTATTATAATCCTATAAAACTCTAAATCTGTCAAAAATCAAAATCATTCAACCACAAACCAGTGTTGCCAGATTTTTTTCACCTTCCCCCTTAGATTTTTCCAAAAAACCCTAGTTTCCCTATGGAGGGGGATAAAAAACCTCTGAATTTTTATTCTGTCAAGTTACGTGTGAATCAGATTTATCAAAAATAAAAAATTTCTACTACATACAAGCTACGTACTTAGACCATTCAACCCAATGGACGAGTAATGCGCCTAATGCTACGAACAAAAAAGTCTGTCATTTTTGATGCGGGGGAAGAAATACTACATAAACAGTACTGCACACCTACTCAATAAAATTTTGTGTCACTAAGGCAAAAAACAACAAAACAAAACACACAAATCTAAATCTCCAACACTATTACATTTTATATGTAGGTTATATTACTTATTATATACATCAATATAGAAAAAGTTATGAGTATAAGACGGACAAATTAATTGCGATACTACCATATCGATATTTTATATCGATAATGAATTGTTGGCATTGTCTGTTTTGAAAAAGAATTCGGAAGTTGGTATGACTATTGAAAAACCTTCAGTAAAACCTCTAGATTAATTTCGTGATATTAAAACCTCTAAAAAAACCTCAACGTCCTCCAAAATCCCCTAGATTGAGGAAAAACCTCTAGATCTGGCAACACTGCCACAAACATTCAACAAACAACAAATCAGACTTAGAATTCTAAGTCTATGCAACAAACAAAAAATAAATATACTTATAGCGAATAGAGAATTTATCTATGATTACTTAAGATTACTAATTTTTCAGGTTATAAAGTATATTAAAACAAGTTAATTTACTCTGTGACTGATTTATTAGGTAGGATAGGGATGATCCCAAGGAAAACTGCGAATTAACTTTGATTGGAAATTATTTACCTTCTGGATGACCTTTTTTACCGTCTGGTAAAAAATTTAAAATACGGTGTAACATGAACACGAACGGCAATAAAACAATAAAAGTAGGCATCTTTGACCTTGTCACTTCGCAGGGTCACAGGTCAAGGACAAAGGGCAAAGTAAAAGTTGTTCAAAAAATTTTTAAAACGTTTAACCCTTAAATGGACAATGTTGTTTTTAAACAACATACTAAACATCACAGATAAAATTATCTTTATTTTATTTTTTTGTTAATTTTGACAACTAGTTCTTATTTCTGAACGAATTTTGTACTTTTTTTAATGTTGGCACTATCCAATATTTTTATGCATTAAATATAAATGAATGTCAAATGTCACTTTGAAGAAAACTTTTCTAGTGGCACGAAACTAAGTTTTGAAGCTGTGTTCGGACTTTGATAAAATATAATGTAAGTATATAACATATTTTTATTTGCTTGATTATATCTTCAATTACATGTTCATGTTGTAAAACATTGAAAATTACTTGATGCTACTGTCGAATTACGCGAAATCTGGTATGTTGTAGGAAAAATACAATGCGCATTGCCTGCTAAATAAATGCATGTTTGGTGAAGGGTTTTTATTTTGCTTTTCAGCATGCCGCGATTACTAGAAAGCGAAATTACAAAGTATTTAGAAACTCTTGAAGATTCAGAAGATGGCTTAGACGGCTCGGACTCCGAAGTAGAGGATGAAGGTCACTATTATCAAACAGCTCGAGATGTTCTTCAGTACCTTGAAAATAGTGATGAAGGTGAGAATGCCCAGTCTGAGGAAGTGGATGCTGATCCTCCTCTCGTAATTGACAACGATCAAAATATGCCAGACCCTCCTATTTTGGAAGCCGGAGAAGCAGTACCCCAGAGTAGATCACAAGGGATTTCTAAGCGACCTCTGGTTTGGCGAAAACGGAATCTTGTTACTGCTGAAGACAGCCTTATTTTTAGGGGGAGAAACTCAGATAACGGAAGCATTGATGTCTTGTAACACGCCGTATGATTTTTTTTCATTTTATTTTACATCAGATCTAAAAAAGCAAATTGTAGAACAAAGTAACTTATACGCGGCCCAGAAACAAATATCCAATCCTGAAATTATAAATGAAAATATCCTAAATAAATTCCTAGGCATTCTGATTTACACCTCAGTCATAAAATTTCCAAACACCAGGGCTTACTGGAGTGATAAATTTGGTTATGATCACATAAAAAATACGATGCCGTTAAAAAAATTTGAAAAAATAAGATCCACTCTCCATTTTGCCGACAATACGCTATGCTTACCCAAAGATCATCCAGACTATGACAGGCTATTCAAAATAAGACCTCTTGAGGAAATGCTCAACTGCCAGTTTGGAAAGGTTCCCTTAGACCAAAGGCTTTCCATAGACGAGCAGATGTGTGCAACCAAAATGAGCCATTACATAAAACAATACATGCCCAATAAACCCCACAAGTGGGGGTTCAAATTATATCTCATCTGCAGTCTACAAGGATATGCTCATAGATTTGAGGTTTACAGTGGAGGGGGCTCCAAAAATAACATCTTACCTGGTGAGCCAGATTTGGGAGAGTCTGGAAATACAGTCGTCAGGTTAGCTAGAATGGTACCACGCAATGTGAATCACATTATATACTTCGACAACTTCTATACTTCTGTGCCTCTCGTCACCTATTTAGCTAAGGAAGGAATTTTCTCACTGGGAACAGTAAGAGTAAACCGATTGAGAAACTGCAAATTGCCTGACAAAAACACTATAATGAAAAAAGAACGTACCCAGAGGATTCTATGAGGAAAACGTGGCGACTGTGGATGATATTGACGTAAGTGCTGTTGTGTGGAAAGATAACAAGCCCGTTAACCTTCTTTCCACTTACGTAGGAGCAGAACCAGCAACCACAGTCACGCGCTTTGATAAATCGAAGAAAGAGAGAGTTGCTATTCCATGCCCCAAAGTCATCAAGGAGTACAATGCTCACATGGGGGGCGTGGACTTATTAGATTCATTTATAGGTCGTTATCACATCACAATGAAGAGCCGCAAGTGGACCATGCGCTTATTTTATCATTTCCTGGACCTCGCAGTTATAAATTCATGGGTTATGTTCAAGAAGGTAAATAATATAAAAGGAAATGATCAACTTCTCAATTTGGGTACATTTAGACTAGAACTTGCCGAAACCCTCTGCAAATTGGGTCTACCTGCAAATGGCGCTAAACGTGGTCGACCTAGTGGGAGCACAATACAAAGAGAACTTGTAATGAAGAAGTTCCGAGGACCAGCTCAAGCAATTCCTTTGAAAGACGTCAGATTGGATCAGACATGTCATTGGGCAGTTTGGCTGGATAAGCAGCAGAGGTGCAAATTCCCGAAATGTTCAGGATTTACGTTCAAAATTACGTTCAAATGTGATACGAAAAAAAGCAATTGTTTTTATAAATATCATAATTTAGAATAAATAAACACATTTCAAAAACAATATCCACTCTTATTTTACCCATACTTGCAAAATGTCATTGAATGCGCAATGTAGTTTATAAACAACACTCACATTATTGCAAAAAAAAAATAGTAAATTCATGTCTAGATTTTTTTTACTCATTTTTCCTAGACAGTAATACATGTCTATTATACAAATATATTTTTTTAAAACGTAAAAAAAAATCGTCCATTTAAGGGTTAATAAAAAAAATTGTTTTTATTTTTGTAAAATATCAATGCCATAGGTTTCTACTTCGTTCACATGTTACCTACACCCTATTTTTTTCTAGACGGTAAAAAAGGTCTTCCAGCATATGCTTAATTTTATTAATACCATTGAAGGCTATTAATATAATATTGATTTAAGAAATCGCCTGTTCTGAAACACGTTTTTTTTGCAGCCAAATATGATGAAATTAATAATATACCCGGAATAGTCGTTGTAACTCCGCATTTTAATATTAATAGCATAGTCCTGGTCCTGGATTGCAATAACAGACGTAAGTTATGTTGTTGTCTATAACATAGGTATAACATATATATGATTTGAATTTCGATAGATTTTAATTAATTTATTTATTTAATTCAAAAATTTTTGTTTTCACTTTTTAAAAAAAAATCAGTGACATAGGCTTCTACTCCGTTCACGTGTTATACAGTATTTGAACTTAAGTTTACTTTGAAAATTAATACTGTATATTCTGTTCCGTGATAGGACATAATATAGCCTAAATGAAAAAAAAAAACAAAACTAAAATTATGAATCAGCCAATTTATGATTTTTATTTTTACTTTTTTTTATAGATGAGTCTTCTAACCATTGAGTCCTACCTACCTACCTTATACTATAGAGGTACCTCTAGACTCCATACTTCTAACTCTGGAAAAATAATATGGGTCTTTTTATTGTGCAGTATAAAGAAAAGCGCTATCTATGAGTAACTATATAAAATACGGTTAGGCTACATAGTTGTACAAACCAGTTATACGTACGTGGTTCAAGTATTATCTACTAGATGGCACGAATTGATTCTTAACTCGTGGTGTTGAGATTTTCTGCAAATGAATGAGTACAGCATTGTGAGCAAAGCAAAGCATACTTACCTGGCGTAGGGGATACCGTGATCAGGAAGGCGGTTCCCCCAGGGCGAGGCCTTTCCATTGCACTGCGGTTTGGTTGACCCCTGCGATTATCCCTAATGTGGATAACTCGGACGCGTAATTTTTGGTAGTGGGAACTGCGTACGCGCTGTTCCCCCATATTTACGAGAGAAAGAGAAGCCTGTTGCGTCTGTGGGATGTTTCTTTAAATAGGTCAGACTAGGAAATTATTTTTATCAATGAAATTGTGGAACTATGGTTTTATTGAGTTGTGAATTACAGTTCGAGTTACATCACATATTAGCCGTAATTAGATAATTTTTAGCACGATTGTGAAGTAGAGGATCGTTTTGTCAGTTCCTGGACTATTTTTACAACCCAAAGACTTAGATAATATTACACAAGAAATAGTTTCTGGGTATATTTCTGAGCTAATAAAAGCTCAATCGTGTACCTACTAATAAGTCGGGTTAAGGTATGTTTGTATACTTACCTACATTCGGTAAATGTAAGTAATTTTTATTGCGCGTACAGTTTAAAGCGGGCTACATACGACACGATATCGGTGGCGATCTAGGGTGGAAAGAAATCGGGGCTTTTATCGGGGTAGACCTTACACACGGGCCTGCCTAGCAGTACGCGTTCGGACTTGGAGCGGAATGCATATGCGGTAGAGTTCTTCAAAATACCTCCGACTCTCTTAAAACACCACCGTGTTGGTTCGGCATTAGCCATCTCGGTTAATTTATTCGAAAATAGAAAAAGAGAAGTTGCTGGGTGAAAAAATGGCTCCAAAAAGAGATAAAAATTAAGCCACATAAACGTACTAAATGGCCTGTAATCCAAGGACGTGATTAATTTTCTCCGGATGGATGAAGACAGTTTTTATAACCTTCTAGAAATGATTTCGCCACTTATATAAAAACGTCAATTTCTCCTACCTATGCTATTTAGTTATTTCTTCTCTTTGTTCATTTCTGCTTTGGTCAAAATCTGGTTATGTATTACACACAACAAACAAGGAAATAAAATACTTTTTGTATAATAATATGTATACTTTTTTTTTAATGTAATCTTTATTTATGGAGTAAAACTATCAGAAAATAAAATAGCTTATATCTTTTTTTAAACATAAAGAAACCTTTAATTTCGGACATACTCCCTTTTATATAACTTGTTTGTTAATGTGGAGATGGTGAAGGAGTAGAAGTTAGTTGTTGATAAGAGGATGAAGGCACGTAAGAGATCGAAGTATGGTCTTGTGGAGTTGTAAGAGATATGAGTGCGCTCTTGTGTTGATAGCGTTGGAATAGGAGTTAGTTGTTGAGGAGAGGCTTTATCTTCTCCTTACTTACATCATACACTCTACTTTACGAACGGCAATAAAAAAATTAGTTTAGTAGGCATTCTTGACCATGTCACTTCGCAGGGTCACAGGCTAGGGTGGATATGATTTGAATTTCGATAAAATTTCAATTAATTTATTTATTTTATTCACTTTTTTTTTTGTTTTTTTTTTTTTTGTAAAATATCAGTGCCATAGGCTTCTACTCCGTTTATATGATTAAAATTTAAAAATTTTGTTATATAAAAAAGGTCATTCGGTATCACTGTTTTGTTAACTTCTTTCCGCGAGGGTTGCCGGCAGCGACTGCCAAAAGAAATCGGGCCGATGCGCCTACACACGCGCAGTAAGGAGGGGGCGGTGCTCCGATCTAGGAAGCATCGGCTGATCTAGGAAGCATTTTTGCTCCTGCCAGCCGATTAAGGAGGCGATATCGGCCACGACTTAGGATGACCCTACATACGACACGATTTAGAGGCAATCTAGGAGGCATCCCCACTACTCCACCCTAGATCGCCACCGATATCGTGTCGTATGTAGCCCGCTTAAACAATATATTTAAATCTGGTAACAATCCGATTGATGATGATGAGGATGAAATTCAATAAGTTATGAAACTTTGCGCGAATTTTTATTCGCAAAATCATCAATTATATTGTCGTATAAATTCTTTTTCACTACCAGATTCTATACACAAAATTTTTATGCTTATTGGAGGTCTTAGAAAATCTTTCACCCGTTTTAAGCAAGAAAAGCTTCTCTCACTCGAACAATTTGTCGCTGGTGTACATAAAGCCATGCGAACTGCTGTATTAAAGTTAAGGATAAACGTTTTGAAAATTCTGTTTTCGCAGGAACGAAGGTAGACTTTTCAATGATCCAGAATCAGGTTTCACAAAAATTCTTTCAGAAGAAAGGTGGCATTAAAAAGGTATGCATTCTTAAACTAAATCATAAGAATAAGTTTCTTCTAAGAAAAAGGCTTTTTCCGTAAGAGATGATATTTCACTCATTTTGCTTCAAAAACGAAAACTTTTATGGAATCTGTAGAAGGCCTCCTGCCGCTTTTCTAATTCGGATACGAGTCTATCAATGAGGAAGAGAAATATTATAACCCTGAAATTATAACTCGTAGTTATTTTCATTTTTTTATCGGGTGTTTGAATTTTTTTCCTTTTCGATTGTCTTTTTTCCCCATGTCTTATGTATACTGAATCGACAAGCTTAATTCCATCGCCTTTTCTTCGAAATACTTAAAATTTTCTCGTTCAGCTACGAAAAAATTGCAAAGAGATTCGTATAGGTCAAATCTACTATAGAAATATAGTATGACACCACAGAAATCTATATTATTTAGATTTCTGTATATGCCACACAAGTTTGGAATCCCTTACCAAAGATATCGTGATTTACTAGAATCGGTTCTAGGTAAGCATCTACTCTCCCTAAACTACAGATGCTACTGTTCTTGGTCCTCTTATGATAACCTCTTGCATAAATACTATTCAACAACTTTAAGTAATAGGCGATTACTACTTGATTGTACTTTTCTTTACAAAAGGGGACAATCATTTTTGGGCCCACTAAAAATATTAACGTCACTTAATGGTATTACATCAAAAAAAAGACACCAAATTATAATAGTAAATGGCCTACAGATTTTTCAAAAATGTAAACGGAATCAAGAAATATGAAAAAAAATTTGTTGTTTTGATATTCGTGTTCTGATTAGTGTAATATGGGTAAAATGCGTGTACCTAATTAGTCATTTTGCAGTTTGTATAAAAAGAAAACTATTTTTTCACAAAGCTGACTTAAAAAAAGATACCACTAAGAACTTTATGTTTAATTTCTAAAAATTTTAGCTAATATCACGTTATAACATAGTTCTAAATGACTGTGAACCAAAACGTTATTTTATCATTGACTTCCGGTAATTCCCAGCGGCCGGCGGCCGGGTACGGCGGGGCGGGGCGGCGGGGGTATTACCTACGTCTTTAATCTTAACGGCATTGACGTTCGTCACGCTACTGTTTTTTTTGTATTTATATGCGATTTTAAGAAAATGGAATCTGCTAGATCAGCATACAATGAAAATAGAAGTGTATGTTGCAATTGTGGAGTCAGGTTTCAACGCAGTGTGCGAAGACAATTACTGGCCGAGACAACTGCTGATGTGCGCCAACTTTTATCTGTGTGGATTTCTCATGAGGTAGGTATAATATTATCTTATGGAAAGCTAATGACTGCACTATACAATCTATCTACTTACATATTATCTAGATTTAAACTTTATGAGAAATATATATTATTTTTGTTACTCTCGATTTTATTCCAACAATATTACTATACTGCGGAAACGAAAATTACATATTTTCTTTATTAATGTATTACTTAATATTTTTATTTTTGTTGAATAATATGGGATATGGTACGATTTTTTTAGAAATAATACGAAAGAAAACGATCCACAGACTCCAGGCACACATAACGATCTATACATGATTAAGTACTTAATTATTTTAAGTTTT